GCAAGTGTCCATTCTAAACTCACGACCTTTGAAGGTTCCTGAAAAATACTGTTAGCCATCCTAGCAACTTGAATCTTGAATTTGTAGATCTCATTGAGCTTATTAGAGTTACTCTTCCACGGGGCAAATCTTGCACGAAAGCTGCTAATCAAAAACAATTTTACCACTGTGTAATGATACAGAGTGACCAATATTTGATTATCCCTGGCTCCTATTGTAGAAAATCTTCCACGAGAGCCGGTAATAGAAAACAATTTTACCCACTGTAATTTAACTAAACAAAAATAAGCCACTGTATAAGATACAGAATGATCAATATTTTATTATTTCCGGCTCTTGTAGGAAATATTCCACGAAAGCTGACAATTGAAAACAATTCCACCGTTGTGTAAATAAAGATACAGAGTGATCAATATTTTATTGGACCTTTCTCATGCAATGAACAACAAAGATAGTTTATTAAGATTTCTGCAATAAAGAAAAAGACACATATAATGACGCGCGATACCTGTGTGGAATGACTTTGATTGGTTCCACTTGTCAAATTGTACAATTTCGGTTATGTTTCTGTTTTTGTTTATTTTTAAACGTTAATATGACAAAATACGTATTAACATTAATTAGAAAGAAAACCCACCGCAGCAAAAATGTTTACAGCAAATCTTTAATTGTACATTATTATTGTATTTGATACAAAAATCGTTATTTTACGAACCCTCAAATCTCAGTCCCAACTTAAATCGTCTTCATTCGGGTTGAGAGCACGTAACTATTGTTTTCTTACAATTTGATTGCTTGGGAACTTGTGAAAAGAAAGGTTTCACTTCTTTTTCGCCTAATTCTGACAAGAACTCATTCAACTCATTTGAACCATTGTATCATAAACAGTTTTTGTAATAATTTTCAGCAATATTGGTTGATACTGATTGATTATTGAGGTTAGCTTAAATACGTCAGAGTCAGACCGTGTTCAGTAAATTGACGATTCAATTATCTGTCACCCACAAGATGCGCGCGCAGCACAGGTAAAATGAGAAAGGTCCATTCAACCACTGGTAGAGATAAAGGGTGATTAATATTTTATTATCCTCGGCTCTTGATGTAGAAAACCTTTCACGAGAGCCGATAATAGAAATAGTATATTACATGCGGAGGTGGAAAGTGTTTCATTATTGTCGAGAGATACTATGGTTCATCAACCAATTCTCGAGACAACATGTGAAAACTTTCCACCGAAATATGTATACTATTTTATTTTGAACCATTAATTATTATTGAAAAAAAAAATAAAGTAAAAATATGACAATAATGGAATTTTGACTGACTCTCTGACACCGACATTGACATCTTATGAAATTTCAACAATATATAAACACATATGACATCTACTTCTAAATATAAACATTGCACCTGAATTTATGTTTAGGTGTAAAAGAACAATTTAGCAGGTCGAAAGTAAGTTCTCCAGGCCGAAAGTGACAGGAGAACTGTCACTTTCGGCCTGCTGCAAAGTAAACAAAAGTAAAGTGACATTTTCGAACCTTCAAACCAGTAAGAAATGTGGAAATCACATATATGGTTCAAAATAAACAATTTGAAGAATATCTTTCACGAGAGCCGGTAATAGGAAACAATTTTACCCACTGTAATTTGACTCAACAAAAATAAGCCACTGTATAAAGATACAGAGTGATCAATATTTTATTATTCCCGGCTCTTGTAGGGGGGGCAAGTAATGCATGCTCTATGTCAAATTTGTCATGCCCTATCACAAATTTGACTCTAGCTACGGCCCTGCATGCCACCCAACCATATTGGTTACATTTCCTTTTATTCTAGTAAAAATGTCAAAAACGAATTTATTAATTTGCAACAAAGACTGTGGCCTAATCAGTTTCATGTGATACCTCGTTGTATCACCGATCTGTCGAAGAGTGGTTTAATGCCGATTTTAATTGCCGATCAGAATATCCAGTTTGTTATGAAAAAGATCGAGTAGTAGCACCACGAGGCTTATTGATGAAATAAATGTTTGCTTCATAAATCCAGAATCTATGAAAGATTTTGTTTTAGGAGATTTAGAAAATGTTGTCAGGACCGTCAGACCGTTTTGCAACAAGTATGTGTGAATTAGAAAAGGCTCATATTGCTGAAATTTGCATTGATTTAAATGACAAAACACCTTTTACTTATCGACCATATCGAACGCTAAAACTATTAAGGATAAATATCATCTGCCGCGCATTGATAATTTACTGGATGGGCTCAAAGGTGCTCGATTCTTTACTAGTTTAGATCTTGCTCCTAGATATCATCAGGTGCCAGTTGCCTCGAATTCTATCGAAAAGACAGCTTTCATAACCCCTGATGGCCATTACGAGTATGTAACTATGCCATTTGGTCTCGTAAATGCGCCTGCAGTCTTTCAGAGGGCAATTTATAAAATTCTTCATGTTATACTACAGCTATGGCGTACTTAGATGATATTTTGAAACCGTCAACGGGCGAAAAAAAATGGATTCACGAATTTAGAAAACGTTCTAAAACTCCTACGTGAAGCCAATATGATATTACGTTTTAATAAATAGAGATTTCTCTTGAGTCAAATAAGTTATCTGAGACATGAAATCTCCTACGAAAGAATCAAACCTGGATCCGGAAAGATTTAATCTGTACGGGATTTTCCAACACCGACAGACGTACATACAATCCGACAGTTCCTAATTATTTTCGCAAGTACATTGCAAGGATTTGCGCTTATTGCGAAACCTCTTACAGATTTAATTAAGAAATGAGCTTGTTTCAATTGGCACACCGAACAGCAGAATGCATTTATAGAACTTAAAGAGAAACTTATAACTTATCGCACGCTGGCGGTTTATGAAAGAAACACTGTTACGGAGTTTCACACTAACGCTAGTAAGCTTGGTATTGGTGGGATATTACTACAACGCCAAATAAATGGAGACCTGAAGCCTGTACAGTACTTCAGCCGCTCTACCAAGAAAAGGTCTACCACTCATACGAACTTACTTCAACTGTCATTTGTAGTATGAAGAAATTTCGTGCGTATCTGATAGGAATTGAATTGAAAGTAGTCACTGATTGTAACGCCCTTAGGACTATATACGTTGACTGAGCGTGATTTAATTCCATAAATAGGTCGATGGTGGCTTATTGCACTCATGTGGATGCACTTAACAGGAATCCGCTGCCTACCGAGTTTGATGAAACAGTTGAAGTTGATATTCTTCATGTCAATGTGTCTGACTCTGATTAGGTGTTATCGGCGCAGTTAAATGAAAAACGCTGCAAGGAAATACATCAAGTTTTGTCACGTATACCAGAACAGTGGCGTAACTACCGAGGGGGCAGAAGGGGCCGTGGCCCCCCGGGCCCAGAGGCTAGTAGGCCCCATCCGACGTCTCATGCAAAAGTAATTTTACAGTCAAAAAACATATTCGTACGATTCTTAGAACATTGTCTTAAGAAACCTAATTGTAATCACTATTTACTACCCACATTGATTTGGAAAATGTAGGTATTTTGCAAAAAGTAAAATCGCGATCGATAATGTTAGCTGTTAGCTAGGAAGATGGCAAGCGATTTCCGCAAAAGAATTAGTTCCAGGTTCTCAAGAGTTAGGGCCGGTTTATCCACCTTCTGATAAACTGTCAGATATGCAATTTGACGGATATAAATGCAATCTGTAATGCCATTGGTTGGCCAGTTGTCCGCCGACCAGAATTAAAGGACGGTAAATTTATCTTGCAGATAGTTATCAGCAATTTTATCAGAGGATGAATAAACCGGGCCTTAGAGCCAAATTATGGACCGACTGGTCGGTAACGTCTTTGATTGAATTCAATTTTTAGTTTCACCCAGCAGGATAAATTTGCCAGTGACGGTATCAGTCAACAACAACCCTACAAAAACTATCACAATAACCCGCAAAAGCCCAATAGATATTTTCAAAAACTTGGGGTTTTGCCAACTCATCTGATTAAATCATCAATTTCGTTACTTAATGGTTCTTCTATGGGATTAAGAAACCTATCTATGAGTCAATGGTTTTTCGTTTAGGAGTCTTATCTGCGTTACGTAGAAATGGCAGGGCCATAATCTGAAACAGGCCAGACAGGATAGACAGAACATACAGGACAGCCAGAGATGAAAGATAAACGGAAAAGACAGACAGGACAGCCAGCACAAACAGGAAAGACAGACAGGTTTGACTGATTTTCTGAGTCTCCTAACATGTTTTGTATTTATAACTTTGTGTCATATTTCTGAGAGAGGATTCTGTTACCTACAATAACAGGATTTCTGCAGCGACCTTTGAAAATTTGTGAGCTTAGTGAATGGCATATTTTGAAGATTTTTTTAATGTAAAATGTGAAGCAATTTCCTCTTGTGAACGTCCTTGGGAAAGTCTCTACTCATTTTGACTTCGAAGTTCAAAAAGTCTCAGCAAATTTTGAACTTATGAGGTATCACCCGAGAATATTTTGAGCCTATATAGAGTGATTTTGGTTGATGAATTGATCTGATTTTCTGAGTCTCTTAACAAGTTTTGTATATTTTGTAACTATATGTGTCTTACTTCTGAGAATATTAATGAGCTTGTTAGAGTCAGCTATTACAAAAACCGCATGTTTGAGTATTAGCTTTATCATGATTCAGCCGTTTCATCTTGAAAATTTCTTCCGGAGCTCAGAATAAAGAAATCAAACTGTATGACATGTCAAAATTGTGAATATTTAGAGAAGCTTTTCTTCGATGGATTTTGCAAAAGCTTCTCTATTTAGAGAACGACTCCGGAAAGTTGCTTTTCCAATGCATATAGTTAAAAGCTAATAAAATCAATACATCATCGCTCTAAAAAGATGTTGCGCCACCACTGGAATGTTGACCAACGATAGACTCCGTAAAAGTACGACGCATCGGGCGTCGCGACGGCAACCTAAGAACGCCCGTACGGGTTAATAATAACTCGGAAACGCGCACCCGTTCCGGTGAGTGCCAAATATGGTTCAATCTCGGGTTTCACCGACGGCCAAATCGAGAGTAAACCGGCGCGACGCGGAGCAGAGGGCGTCGCGACGCCCAAAAATAATCTCATCCTGCTCCTGGCCTATTCAAAATTATCGGCCTTGTACGGCCAGTACGCGTCGGTTCCCTGGGTAAAATCCCCTTAAACTGGAAAAAATCAAAAAAATTTACTGTGATATTAGGATAAATAATTTTTAATTGAATTATGATTGAAAGTAAGTCAATATTTTGATTAGGACTAATCATAGAGCTGCAAATAAGTATAAAAATTAGGTATTTTGCTTTAACAGATTCCAAGAAATAAGGCCTCAAATACATTGAAAAGTTTCTGCCTCAAAATTCAAACCGTTTAACATTTTCATTTATTTCTACTTTCCAGAAATGCATTCAGACGACATTGAGGCGGCTCCAACTTGTCCGGAACTGGTTCAATTATCAGACAAAATGACATTTACAAAAGCCACTACGCTTATTAGTCCAGAAAATTTATCCAGATTAACGCCACAATCACAGTAAGTATTTAGTTTAGAATCTCATTTAGCTTCCTTTATACCTCAACTTCTAATCCAAATTTCTTCCATAGTTTATTTTAATTCTCAAATAAACCCATTTTTGAACATCTCAATTAACCTGAATCCCTTAAAAATGTCCTGCAAATATGTTTCCTGATTAGGTTATTCCCAAAATTCTCTGTTCTTTGTGGTAATTAATTTCTTAAGCCAAAAAAATCTTTGTCCCCAATTCACTAATCAGTTTGATGGCTACTTATAAATTCCAAGTTTATCAAAAAAATCAATGCTTGTTTAATTCCATGAAGTGGCTTAGTTGAGTGTCGTATTTGTTTTCCAATTCACTATTTAAAAACACGGTCAAAATCTAATTGATTTCCATTGGATAATAAACAAAATGGCAGTTTTTTTACTTCATCATGATCAAAAGATTGCTTCTGTGCGTTTATTTTTTATTTGTTTTTCTAATGGTTTCCTATTAAATGCCCATCCCGTTACTCATTTTTGAAATGCTTCTTCACCCTTATCATTATCAATAATTATATCTTTGTTGATTTTTTCATAGGAATGCTGAGCTTTTACTCAACTCTTCTTATCTGTTTTCAAATGCTACTAATGCCATCTTTATAAGAAATGCATGAATGATGCTATAGTTTCATCAAATCACTTAGACCTAATAGTACTTACCTATTAAAGGTCTGTTCTCACAAGAGTCTGAAAGTTTGCAAGCTGTCAGATGCAATCGCTCAGCTAAGTTACCGAATTATCTTGGAACGACAGCATTGGAAACATATATGGGCGATGCTTTGCAAACTGTCAGAGACTGTTGTGAGAACAGACCTAACGACTATTGGGAAATGGACTAAGAAATAAAAGAACTTGTTATTTATCGATTTTCAATATATTTATTTTATCGAACACAACGTGGAAAGCAGAGCGTGTGAACTCATAGAACTAACTATAGGAACTGACTTAACATCAAAAGACAAAGAATTACAAACCCTTTCTTAAGTGAACAATTTCTGATCTTTTTATCTTACATATAAAAACTATTATAAATACATTCAGTCAAAATATAGGCTAATAATCAAAGTTTAATTTATTAATTTTTGGTTCACTGATATGACTATCAGTTTATCCAACAACGACTTGCTGGAATCTACGAATCTGAATTTGAAAAAATTAAAATTTCTTCCAGATCCTGCAACAGTCCGCCAAAATTCATCAACCTGGAAGACGACATCGAAAAAGTCGAAATAAACAGTAATTCTTCATCGTCGTCACTGGACACTGACTTATTACAAGACATTTCCGCGATCCCGCAGGAAAACCCTACCGAATCGGTAAAAAATTGGCTAAAAAAAATCACCGAAATCCAAAATGGGGCCATCAAAAAGCCGCAACCGCCCCCAACGCCGTCCAGAGTGATGAAATACCAAGATCTACCCTACATGGGTGAAATCACGCTGGACAACTCCAAGCCCCGCAGGGGCAGGAAACCGAAAAAGGCCGACATTTGCCATTTGATTTACAAAAATTACGGCACTATTTTTCCCGGAACTCCAAACCCCAACAGCTATTTGGAAAAATCCAAGCAAAAACCCCAACCAAACAAAAACCATCAAGTTCAAAATAAAATTATCAGTAGTTTGCTTGAAAAAAGGCTGACGCAAAAGGACCAAAACGAACCGATGAATCTTTGCGTCAGAGATTTGGATCATTTGAAAATAAGATTGCCAGATGTTAAATCGGAACCTCAGTCTGATGACGATGTCGAGATTCTCACCCCTTTGCCAGCTTTAAATGTTAAAGCTGAACTTAGAGCTACACCTGACAGTGTGTCCACTTCGGATACTGATGGACAAAATTCACCTGGAGCTGGAAAGTAAGTAATTTTGATGAATTTGAGCAAATTACAATTTGAAAAGTTGACAGTCGCGAATCAAGAAGTTCAAAGATAAGTTTACTATATTATGCGCGTGCATTATCAAAAGATTTATTTTATTAGAATAGCTAAGTGAACTAAGGGAAAATTTTAAGTAGTTGTAGGAAAATTAAGACTTTAGTACTGACTATGATAGTCACAAGTCTATTGAATATTTTTGCTAAGAATATAGTTAGGAAAATATAAAGTCCATGACTATTGCCAAGTTGATAATAATTCTACCAAAATTATTTTCCAGCTACGTCTATTGGCCAAACACAGGACTGTTTATTCATCCTATGGCCCTTCAACAGCAACTAATGATGTACCAAAGACTAGCGGGCAACATGAATTACACCCTTCCGAGTAGTCACAGTCCTAGACCGCCTCCAGCTTCTACGGCCATCAGCGAACCACCAGAACCTCTAAGAAAAATAGTACCGAAAACTGTTGTTCATCATCACGAGACCAAAGCGAAACGGAACGCTAGTGCTAGTGCCGGTACGAGTAGTGATAAAACTCCCGCCAAAAGAAAAAGATCGGCTATTTTTATTCCTCCCATACCTGCCGAAGCTACGAATCCCGCTACGGAAGTTAGCATTTGCAAGTTTAAGTTTACCGGAGGCGCCAAGCCGAGCTTGCAGGAAAAGAAAATGTTGTCAGTGGATTCGGGAGGGAATTTTCGGTAAGAGGAATTTTGTTGTTATTATTTTGTAGTTTTGAGATTGAAGAAGTAGAAATTACAAGATTAACAACTCAGTTTTGGGTCTGCCAAAGGTTTTTTTTAGAGATTCAGCCTCTTTTTGTGCAAATTTGAATCAATTTCTAAAAGGCACATCTTATCGAACCTATCTATATCTGACGCCCTGATGGCCTGATTTCGGTTTCCATTTAATGCAACTTTTGTGATATCAAAAAACAAAAACAAGCGATATGTAAACACACTTACAAACATCTTACTTTTGACAATATCTTTTAATCTTTTTACAATCGAATACATAAAAAACATTGATAAAATTTAGGATTTCAATTTCCTTCTCAAGATCACTTCTATGAGCTTGTCACTTAACTTGTTATTGATCTATTAGCGAGGACTTTTCTGCATTCATAATTTCAACAACTTGTAGCTTTTTAATCAATATTTGATTTTGTTCCACTTCGATTTTTTTGCCTTGCAACTCTTGTAACTCACCCTCTCGTAATTCTGAATTAGCATTACCTCCTTCAATAATTTGCAACTTGTTTTGAGCTTCATGAAAGCTAATTTCAATGAAATCCTTTTATTTTTTTAACTTACTCAGCAAATGATTGTTCAATTTTCAAGTCAGCACTGGATCAACTGATCCAATTTTGACTTCCGGTTCATAAGTTGCTCTAAATTACTCTACAAATCGTTTTTTAAAAAAAATCTTTCCCTTGCAGTTTCTCTTGGTGATTGGATATTTGCACTTCCAAAATTGAAATTTCACTGTCTTATTGCATTCACTTAGATTTTTCTTCATTCAAGTTTCACTTTAACTTCATTCGATTCTTTATTTACCCTTTCATCCAGGGGTAAACCACCTTGGAATTATAGTGTACAAGCATATAGGATTCCAGTCAGTGGGATTCTGTAGTTCAAAACCTCCTCATTTTTTTATCAGAACGATTCATTAGTTCCGCAGCAATTTACTCATGAAAATTACTTATTACATAAGATATATTAGGTGACCAATTAACTATTTGAAAAGAAAATTTTTATTATTTTTCTCATTACTCATAAGTAAATTTGAGCCTGGTTGTCTAGGTAGTGAACTACCTAGGTTTTGCATCAATCATATGAAAAGTTTTTATTAATTTTTGCTTAAACTCAATCAATCCAGTTTCAGATTCTGACAAAATTATTAAATCATCAACATGTATCAACAAACCAATTTCATCATTGTAATATAAACGAGGATCTGCCAGAAATCTTTCCAAACCTATGATGATCAAATGTTGATGAAGTTTATCATAGGTACCAGCATTTAGATGATTTTCTTAAACCATGTAAAGATTTGTTCAGCTTGCACACACTTCCCTCTGAAATTTCTTTTAGACTATTTGACACTTCCATATAAACCGATTGTTTCAATACACCAATGAGAATTATGCGCACCTAAAATCAAGTTGATAGATTTTTAAGTATTTTTGACTACTAAGTGATAAGAGAATTCTGATGGTTAACATCCTTCTGACTAGTGAATATATTTCTTCTTGCAAATCTGATTGCATAAAACCCCTTGCTACAAGTCTTGCCTTCTTTATCACCTTTTCATATCTATCTTTTTCTGTAAAAATCCATTTCGAATCTATAATTTTAACATTATATATTAATAATTTCTCATGTTTCATTCTGTACAAGTGAGTCCAATTCGTCTTGTATGACTTTCTGCCATCCAATAGCTTTATCATAATTTTCAGGTACGCCTGATGATATGCCTTCTGATAATGCTGCCATCAGTTTAATGTCATATTTTTCTAATTGCTTAGGAGTTTTTCTTTCCCGAATTGATCGTCTACATCATTGTAAATTTCAGTTTGATTTTCTGACTCATTTTTCCCTCTATCTTGTACTTGGCAATTTTCTTTTCTTGTACTTTGTATTTCCTCATCATCATTGATTTCTAAATCTGTCACTTCTTGGAATTCTTTATTCTGCCTTTCCACAATAACCTTTTTATTCTAGTTAAATTTTACCTTTTTGACAACCACAGTTTTCTGTTTTTCTTTGTCCCAAAGCCGATATCCATTGTTTGTATATCCCATCATAAACAATTGTTTTGATCTCTCATCTAACTTACTGGGTCTTTCTACTTTTGGTATATGAACATACGCTCTACATCCAAATACTTTAATTTTATTCAAATTAGGCTTATAACCATACCAAATTTCAGCTGGAACTACTTTATTTTTCAGAACTGTTGTTGGAGTTCTATTTATTAGATATACAGCTATTTTCAAGGCTTCACTCCAAAAACTTTTGTCCATTTTCGATTCAAATATTAGGCATCTTACACGTTCCATTACGGTTCTGTTGAATCTTTCGGCTTAACCATTTTGTTGTGGTGTATATGCTACTGTGTATGCTATTTTAATAGGTACCTTTCTTTGAACTTAAATTCACTCGAGACGTATTCTCCCCCATTGTCACACCTTATTTGTTTCAGTTTCTTGTAAAATTTTGCACTAACCATTGCTAAGAAGTTCTTTAAATAAAGGCTATCGGCTATTTGCATGCTTTAAAGTTGAGCAGGAGAAGGAAAAGATTTGTACTTCGTGCAAAAAATATATTCATAAAGTTAGTGCAGAGCGCTTTTGGCCCTAGACCATCTTCAGTGCCACCTGGAAATGAGGAGAAAAGGTCTAATAAAATGGTAAAAATAAAGGTTTTTCTACTCACTTCGTCAAGTATAGTACAAATAGAGTCCTCATTTCCAGGTGGCACTGAAGATGGCCTAGGGCCGAAAACGCTCTGCACAAATTTTATAAATATATTTTTTGCACGAAGTACAAATCTTTTCCTCCTCCTACTCAAACTGTAAAATGACTGTAATGATCTATGACGGTTACAAAATATCTCTTGTCAGAATAAGTAATGGGTGTTATTGGTCCACATACATCGGAAAATACAATAGACCACAGACAGACAATAAGTTACGAGTCAAACTTTCACGCTCAATGACATTCTGTAAAACAATTTTTCTACTATTTTTAGCCTCAACATGCAAATTACCTTTTCTTTTTGCTATAATAACTACATCCTCCTCATTCGATGATTCACTTCTTCTACATTAGTCAATTTTTTTCCCACAGTTGAGCTAACACTACTGTCAACTACAACGTTAACTTCACTTCTTCCTGTTGCATAACAAGCAAATGTTCGTGCCTCTAATTCAAATTCAGAAATAAATGCAACTTCACCACTTTCACTATTATTGTCGCTTTCAGCCAAATGAGATTGTACTCTACTATTTTTTAATTTCGAACAGTCCACCTTCTTGTGCCTCTTTTTACCACAACCATAGCATCTTAATTGAAAGTTCTTTTCATTTTCCTTCGTTTTCCAATTTTGTCCCCTTGGAATAAAATGTGGCTCGAAGTTTCCTTTATATCCTAGAAACACCTCTGATCCTTTACTCTGATATTTTGGTTCATACTTATTTTTATTTTGTCTCGCTTCTTCCATCATGAGTCTTCTCTCAATGAATTCTGAAGTCACTTTACTGTGTTCTTGACAATACAAAATTGCAGATAATAACGGATTCTTGGATTGATCTTCTGTCTACAAGGTTCTTCAATTTACTTGCACCCTTTTTTCAGTCTTTTAGTCAGCTTTATCTGGGCCCGTAACCTTTTGACTTTCTACCTTCTTCCACACAGACCAAGAATCAAGAATGAATTACGAATTAACTAGTTTGGTGTCCTCTAGCTTCCAGCATTCAAAATAAACAGGCAAATTTCCAAGAACAGTAGAAGCGTTTCTATTTTAAACAATCAACAATAAATAATAGCTGTTACTTGGAAACGATTACTACGATTATAATACCTTTTCAACTTCAATTTGGAATTAATCCACTTTTAATCGGTAACTAACACGTTCAAAATGGGAATAAACAAAGTCAAATTAGATAATAAACATTTTGAATTTGGTACTAATCAACTTCAAATTGAAATTAGGCACTAGCTGACGTCACACACATAACATAACTTTCGTTAAGGGGGCAAACAAAGCGTTTAAAAGGACTATTTACCAATATTTACACACAGGCGCTAGCTTGTGACTTATCTTATGACATAACGTCACTTTCGATAGGGGGACAACGGGGACAAACATACATTCAGGTTATGTGTGTGACGTCAGCTAGTACCTAAATGTGCCTGAAATCGTCATACCGAAGTTGAATAAATTTTTAAGTTTTGCAAGTCAAACGGCAGTCACGCGAATAAATCTTATATTAAATTAATTAAAATGATGCAGAAATTGCTCAAAAGCAAATATGTACTTACAAATGACAAATTTTGCATGTAATTGTAGAATATAATAAAGTTAGATTTGGTATAAAAACATACTATGAGATCAAGGTTCCTGAAGTTAATAGGTTGTCTGGTAATATGAAACAAATGACGTCATATGGGGTGCCTCATGGAGATTTGCATTATGTTTGGGCACCCCAGATGAGTAATAAAAGTTGTTAGGCAATCTACCTCATTCAAGCAACCTCGCTATAATATATTATTTTATTACTATTCAAATTCCCTTTTTCATTTTTATATTGATTTTGTTCACTAGCGATCTTTCATTTATATTAATAGGTACCAGGTATCATCATCACCAAAAGTAACTGGGACATCATCATATTAGCTCTTGTACTATTATATGATTTTTGGTACCAAAGATTTGTCAAATTATGAATAATTTTACGTTTATCTAGGTTAACTTGAAATAGTCCAGGAGATCAATATGAATTATGTTTGTCCCGAATACTTTTGGTGACGATGGTATAACCTATATTCTAAATTGAATAGGTCAATTCCCAATTTAAATTTGTTTCTTCCCAAACAGAGATAAATACTATATAAACTGTCGAGAATGGAATCTCAGTGTAAATTTTGTTGTCAACAAAATTGAGCCAAGCCAGCGCCATCTACCATATCGGAAAATCA